TGTCAAATAAAATGGAACATTATTTGATCAAACGCATTATTTGCGCGAAAACCTACCTTGATCACTCACCACTCTCCATCTACTTCTTCCATGCCCTCAACGACGTAACTTACAGTACAATCCTCATCACCGCAAGGCACGTAAAAATTCGAAAGGCGAATCGCGTGCTGATGCCGAACCACTGATTGGTCATGATTCCCTCATAATGCCGGAACACGAATGAAATTGCTATTTGCTCATATTTTTGTCCTGGTTGGTAAAAAGCACTATCTACACAACCATTCAATTTGCAAACATCACGCAACTGAACCATGTGAATGTGTGAATCCTCACCAATTTCACTGACACTAAGTATAACACGCTTTCCGGGATGCAAATCCTAGCATGACTTAGAGAAACGCATCACTGCTACCTCATGATCAAATGCTATCCAACTGATTAGGAGGTGAAAGCAGCCAAAGCATCATCTTGTTAAACATTGGAAAGTAGCCTACATCGTGAGTGTAATCACGTAAAGGTTATTGATAAATGCATCAGAAACGGAATTTGTCAAATGGAGAAAAGTAAGGCTGGAGTGAGCAGATTTATTCACACAATTGACAACAGCTGCTTGGTTCATTCATAAAGCTGTGCGGGCCATGCCACACGACGAACACAAAAAGCCAGAACATTTAAACAACTGTAATGTCCCTTTGTCTCAGGGCTTCACTGCGACCGGCTTGGTTAAGTTCAAAATTCTCGCAGAAATACTTGTATTCTCAAAGTCTTTAGTTTTCCATCACAGGCAGCAACTTTAACCTGCAGGTTTGACTAACGCATGTTTACGGGCGTAAGCAAAGACATGAAATCATCGTGCAGGACTGTTCAGTAGTCAGCTGACATGCAACTGTCTCCCAATTCGGCCAACTGTTTCCAATGCACTTAAGGCTGCATTCTTATCCCGCTTATCAAAGTTGCAAAGAACAATCTGGAGACTTCTATAAAAATTATACAGGGGCAATTCTCACTGGTGCGAGTTAGTAAGTGCAATGATTGGTTGAACCGCCAGTGTGTGGGTCTGAGTGCTTAGTGACCACTCACCACAGCAACCATCACCATGTCTTCAACTACACATCCTCATTTCTAATTGGCTTGAGTCAAATAGTGGCAAATGCGGTAACTGCATACCTTGTAATTCATTCCCACCTATTCATATTAATGCAAAGATATATTCACATACTTGTGCAGCTGAATTCATGTGTGAAGTCTCGAGATTTGCATATGACTCAAACTTCGAAATATCGCCTGATATTCTACGCCGGTAAGTTTTCAGACTGATTGTTGTAGTTGTAGAAACGCTACATTTACACAGTGACTAGTCGCGTAAAATCGCATTACGGATATCTTGGCTAACAACCAATGTTTCTACCCCGTGTTCTGCTTTGACTGAGATTGTAACACGAATATGCGTGAATGCTGGCACAGTTTGCTCATGATGCCAATGAAATAGCTCAGACAGCCAAAGGTTCCCTCAATATCGTCATGCCCTTGACAACTCAACTGCTGCTGATTTTATGGGCAACATTGTCGAACTCCCAATTTTCGTGCAGTTTTTAATTTTTCCACATATAACGGAATTGGCAGATGAATGCGTTCATGCATCTTCCAATAAAAAAAAATCAACCACTAATTTTCCTCCACAGTCGCGCCACTAAGAACACATTTCACACACTCATAGCATTCCTTAGTCTCATTGACGCTTTTTACAAATTCTGCACTTACTGAGTTTGATATCATGTGTTTAAAATCCAAATGGATGTTTGCACCAAAAGCAATGCACGTCAGTACTTAACAGGAATGACTTAATTTGGCACGTCGCGTTTTATCTTATTTTAATAATATCAACCACGACGATGCGACGACAATGCGGCGGTTACATTTTCATCATCGTGCTAATAACACTTGGAGTAATGCTGCATCTCTTCAATCACTACAACGCACGATACACTTCAGTTACACTAACAGGCTCTTCGTCGGATTCAGCAGAGTTCTTTGCCGAAGTCAACTCTCTTGCCCATCCACACTGTCTCCATTTTCGAGAGCGTTTTGCCATCGCAGTCGACCCCCACGTTGATATGGATATTGCGTTCACGTTGGTGGTTCATAAGGACGTGGGTCAGATTGCTCGACTCCTTCGAATGATTTACAGACAAAATAATTACTACTGCATTCATGCCGACAGGCGTTCAGACTTCTTGTTCACAGAGGCCCTGCGAGGTGTCGCAACGTGTTTCGGAACAAATGTGGAATTAGTTCCACATGAGCAGCGAGTTGAAGTGCATTGGGGTTACGAATCAGTCCTTGTGCCCCAAATTACATGTGCGAAACAGGCGTTGAGGAGTCACGCTACGTGGAAGTACCTGGTGAATTTGGTTGGACAGGATTTCCCACTGCGAACCAACTTGGAGCTGGTGGCTGCACTGAAAGCACTAAATGGATCCAACCTCGTTGAATCTGTCGAACTGGGCAGATTTGCGTGGTGGACAAATAACAAGTTGCTGCCATTAGGAGTGAGTTGCCATCTGATGGATTTGTCGTGTAATACTCTTTCTGTGAAGTGGCACTGCCTGATATTGAATTGAGAAGCAGTGGGTAAAAATTTGTCATGTACACGCATAACACTGAAAAATACGCTGCGATATAATGTGGCAAATTGTTTTATTGGCACTTAATGCCTCACCCAGCTGCCAGTCATATGCACAATTTCCTCAGGCTATTGCTTCAAATTTTAAATACGCATCTATCACCATCGTCTACACATTAGAACTAATTAACAGCAGTGTATTCAGCAAAACACTGAAGACAGTAGTTGATCGTGACCTGTAAATATGACAGATCATGATTAAAGTAATGCAAAGCGCACAGTCTACTCTTGACGTTGTAGGTAACATGGTACAAAGGCTCAATGTACGGTGCCTTCCGAAGGGAATTTCTGCACGAAGCAGTCATAGGAACGGCCCTCGGCCCCATTCGTGACCTCATGCTCCAGCCAGGCGACATCATGCATCCAGACGAGTTGTTTTTCCCTACTCTTGCTTAAAACAGCAAACTCCGCTTGCCTGGTGCCTGTGTCAACACTCCATCACCCGAATCGGAAGTGGGCTACAACTACTTGGCCAAGTTTGTCATTTGGGGAGGCTACAATATGAATTGTACTACTAAATATGTCAGAGGTGTCTGCATTCTTGGATCGGATCACGTGGCATTGTTGCAGAGTGTGCCGCACATATCTGCCAACAAGTTCCACGCTGACTACCAACCAGAGGCATACGATGAGATGGAGCAATGGTATTTTCGACCCGTCGCAGCCGAAATGAAGTCAGGCTTGTATAACAGAAGCTCATTTGATCCAACAATTTATTCCAACTTATCATGCTCTCAAAGCCATGTTTAGTATCTTTTTCATATTTTCATTTCCACTAAAACCAACTAATTTGATAGTAATCGACCTATCTGATTATTTATTATTCATTGTGAATTCTCTTAGACAGACTGCACACGGCGCACTGGCGTGTCGTCGCTTTCAACCCTGCCCAATTTTAATGTGTTCAGACAAGCAGCTTAGGTTGGCGTTAGGAAGAATACCTGACAACAGAGTTGGGGTGCACAATGGACTTTAACAGAAGTCTTTTTGTTGATTGGTGCTGAGTGGTAGTGTTGTGTTCACAAGTGCATTCTGAAGAATGAATACGGAATAGTGAGCGTCTTCATCGTACGTTCAATCCATCGGCCTGTCTCTCACTAATGATAGAAACGCGGTTGAGTTAAGTATGAATGATAGAATTTGCCCTCGGCTTTATTTGTTGATAGAGCTAGATGTGCCACACATAGTTGTCCATCGTCTGATGCTCGTGACAGGCAAAGCAGTTGTCTCCGTAACGCCACTCGTAATGTTTATTCTGAGCTGCAATGATATTTGCCATTTGGCTTGAGTGACTGTGAGAGAACCACCACTGCAAATATCAATTCATAATCCAGGACAAAAAAATGCAGTTTTTCGTTTGGCTTCATACGTTGCCCCGTTCACATACAAAGGAGGCTACGTTTTTGGCTCACATGCCTGTCTCACAGCAGGCAATTATTTTTTTTAAACGCTCACATTATTCGATGATGCAATCTATTACTGCGTTTAAAACCTAAATAAAAAAGAATTTTTAAAGGCGATGTGCGGATGCAATCAATGGAAACATGACCACATATTTTCACCACACACTTCATCGAATTGTAAGTTTACTAAAACACACTCACAAAGATTTTATTTTGTTTGTCAGTCCCCTAACCACGATGTAGAGCTGCAGCAAATTTTACTGCTTTGCAAACATTGACCCTGTTTGAGAATTAATCACAAATCCCGGCGTCATTCGTCCTGCCTATTTGCCTAATTATAGGCCGATTTGTTCATAAAAATGTCACGCAATCGACCTATCCTTTGCCCTAACTACAGCACATGCGTAAGTCATTCAAAATTTACCCCCATGGGGATGCCTGATATATTCCGTGAGATGTTCGAGGCAATAGATGAGAGTTGAAAATGTAGGTTAGATGAGGGAGATCACAACGCGTTTGTTTAAAATTAAACACGTTTATAAAAGCATATCGTTTACCCGAGGATTGCGATTTCATCCTTCATGTTTGACAAGTCTTCACAAAAATGCAAACGTGGATTGTATTCCTCGGTTCACAGTGCGTGTGAAGGCAACTTTAATCAGAAATGTTTAAAGTTTGACTGACACTTATGCCACACTTTCTTTGCTGATTCAATGCACGAATACGCTTTCTGCCATCAGTTAGCAGATAAAACGCACTTTTTAGACGTTTGTGAACGCATCACAATATTGATGCGAACGCTATCAAATTGTGTCTGAGGCGTTTGACTGGCTCAGTCGATTAACATTGGACATCTGACAGTGTGCGCACTTTTTGATCTTAATATGAATTCCACTGTTCTTTGTGGATCACTCGTAGCGTTAGTATATCTACTCCATTGGTTTTCGTTGGCATGAGTGATCACTTTCTTGCTTTCTGCGGAACTCTTTTAAGACATCCATTTTGGAGTGAAATGTGATGCATGCTGGTCGGAATTTGGCACACACCGTTACATGTAGATGCTTCAGCGGGAAGCTAGACCATTTTGAGGCAATATTTTGATGACAGAATTTCTTCAATTCCTTCCTTCAAATTTAGGTGAAAACTCGTGTGTTCTGAAACAATGTCGAGACTCTCGTTGTGAGCTTACTAAGTTGCCAGTTAGATTGCCATGAGTTCAAAGACAAATGTGTGCTATTGGCTTTCGTGCCTTTTGCGACGTGGCAAGAAGGTGTGCTATTGGCTGCTTCATCCAATTGGACGATTTGTTGTAGGAGAGCATTACTTGCAAAAGGGATGAATTGGTTAATTGAGAAAGAAGGACGTCTAAATGGTGATGATCCAGCGTGGCAGTCTTCACTAGAGCCTCATTGGTGGTTGTGAACGTGTTACGTGCTGCGTCAGTCATGGATATGTTTTGGCTCGATTCTTGATTAGATTGGTCACAGCAGAGGACTATTTGCTATGATAGGTGTGAAAGGCCAGCAGAGGTTTTGCGTAACCATGAACGGATGAAGTTGACTGATAGATGGTTGTACAGAGATGTTTAAAAATATTTTTAATCAAAAAGGCTGATAACGTAACTAGAAGAAAATACTGAACAGATTCTGAATCATTTATTCATAACCGTTTACGTGAGTACACTCACGATGTGAGCAATTGTTCCGTGCTTGCAAAGATGATGCTTGGGCTGATTTTGCTTTCTAATAGGTTGGATAACAATTTATCACTGGATAGCAGTGATGCGTTTCTCGGAAAAATGGGGAGGATTTACACATCAACCTGCTTTAATTGCGTGATATTTGCGAAAAGAATGGTTGTGTGGTGTATGCTTGTTAACCAATCAAGGCAAATCCTAAATAAACTGCGTTTTTAATAGTCTTTCGGAATAAAATGACGATCATGACTAGTCAGTGGTTCGGTATCAACAGGCAATTCACCTTTCGAATTTCCCCGTGTTTTGCGGTGATGAGGAATTTTTGCCTTAAGTGACGTCTCTGAGGACATAGAAGAGGGAAAAGAGGAAGATGGACAGTAGCAAGTGACCAATGAAGGGTTTCGTGCAAATTATATGTTCGATAATCTCACAAATAGCATTAATCCAGTTTAAGTGAAAAATTTGACTTTTAAGGTGCGTTTAATGCACTCATTTCAACTTGCATCGGAGTGCACTAAAAAGCGTTTACTCACCAATTTAAAGTAAAACCGTCAAACGTAAACACGTTCTACTGTCTCAGCTCTTTTAACGACGCACAGGTCTACAACGAATTAGCATTATATTGACATTAGTGACATCTGTGGTAATGGTGTCTTTTAACGCCAAGTCATTGATACTGCTCGCAAATTCGTCGGCGTTTTCCCATTGCAGTTAATCTCCAGATTGACATGGACATAGCCTTCATGCTGGAGGTTCACAGTGACATTCATCAGATTGCTTGTCACCTTCGAGTGATCTTTCTACCTCACAACCACACATGAACTCACATCGACCAGCACTCGACCATTCAGTTCGTAGTTGCAATTCGCCTACATTTGCTTTCTACATAGTCATGTAAATAGCATTTCCACAGTATAATGTGACATTCTTGAGACGATTTAATAATGGTTGATTAAGTGCAAACGTAGATAACGATTGGCGGCTGTGCTTGCAAGATAATTAGTGGCACTGGTGAGGATGCGCCACAGTCAAGGACGTTTCAAACGCTTAGAAGTGGCTTAGATTCGCAGTGAGATTAAGGATGACGAACATCACATTTGCAGCCATGTTAGAACGTCAAGGCTATCGCTTGATATTGTGGACAATGAGGTACTAAGTCTCTGGGTATGATGCCTTGCAACGGTTGTTTCTGCAGGTGGCAGTCATGGGAAAACTGACGGCTCACTCATGAGGTCATACTGTAGCCAAATTGTGTCAGGAGTGCAGACAAGTCGCACTTCCCTAGTACGTTTAAGATGTCTGCAACCTTGGAACAGGTCACTTGGCGTTATTATAGAGTATGCCACAATTTTTTGTCAGCACATTCATCGCTGACCATCAACCACGGTGAACACGATGGGATAGGGTAATGGCGTCTAAGCTGGTATATTAAATTATGCTTCTATGACAGACGCCGATTCGATCCATCCACTTACGTCTGACATGTATGTTCGCAACATTACCTTGGTTGCTTTTATTTTGTGTGATTACAATTTGTCAACAATGGCATCGATATTTTAAAATGTGCTCGAGCACTTAAGTTTACCTGCATGCAATTAAAGAACATGTTTTCAACATCGCACGTGCCTACATGGAAGTTTACAGACACAACTCAACGGAGGGTGCCCAAACAGGATTCTAAACTGACCAGTGTACTGTGATTGGGAGGTGTTCTTGTGGGAATATGTCTGGTGTTTGTGGTGGGCATTTTAAATACTCGTGGTGAATGAAAGCAACGGGTCTCACAAATGGACGTCCAAGGCATTGAGTACATTATTGAGGTTAAGATATCGGTGACATCTGTGCAGAGTGAAATACCACAGGCCTCCAAAAATAAGACATGAGAACAAACCTGTCGATAATTAAATCAATCACTGTTATCGCGGTCTCATTTTCTATCGTCACAGTGTACTCTTAAGGCGTCCTCACCATCATCATCGTCTGACCACTCTGCTGTACCTGAGGGTTTATGTCGGCTACTAAGGACCTTACATGCTATAGTTTGTGTAAATAACACTAATCCAGCCGAGATTTGCCCATTGGTACTCCAGACGCTCTGTTAGTCTTCGTGGTAAGCTTTATAACATTCTAATGTTTGGTGGGAGATAGAGTACAGGCAAGCATTGGAGTGCATGGCGGTTATGTAAACGTAATGACTGTCCACTTATGCGAGGTTTGTTAAATAGCATTACAAGTGCCATAAGACTGTTCTCCTTAGATAATCAATTACAGATATGCTGACACATTTTCAGGCCTGCATGTTAACGACTAATTTAGGATCGATCTTGCTTCCATCTCTCGATAAAAACGGAATGGGAGAAGGCGTTTGCCTTGTAGTTGTCAGTCTTTTTATTAGACGTGGTTTACTTCAATGCCTAGAAAACGATATCATGTGGATTCACCCCTAGGCATACCCGCATCGACGTTCCTCTTAAAGAAGCATCCACAGTGCTGCACCTCAACTCAAGGACTCTTGACAGTAAGTAACTGACTGTGACAATCTGGGTGAAATGGTAAAATTGGAAGCGTCGAAATGGTCAGTTGGATGAAGTGGATAGTGGTGGTACTTGCACCTAGGGGAATGAGCCCACGATTTCACATGGCTGACAGCC